ATGGCAGTAAGTATCTTAGAATATTAGGTAATATTATCAATTTTTCGTTTGCTAAAACACCCGCGATTACTTCTTCAGCAACATATTCCGGTTCAAGCATTGGTATCAATCTGTTTGAAGGTTATTTATTATAAAGTATTGTATGTAAATAATTGAATAATTGTCTTTCCATTAATTTTTTTAACATTATATTTTTTAACATTATATTTTCACGAACCTAGGTTTCACTCCCTTGAACATTCCCGTATTAATGAGGTAGGGACAAACTAAAGTCATATGAATTCCTTCGTATCCATGCATCTTAAAATACAGTGATAATAAAATAATAATTAGTAATGTATGTAGGTGAGGGATGTGTAAGAATGATAATACGAAATTATTCACTCGATAATTATAGTCTTACATACTTTGAGTTCGGTGAAGAGACTCTCGTGACATCCAATGGCCGCGAACTTTGTCGCAGAATAATCTGTACACTTGTAAATTCCTAAAAGTCCAGCAACACTCGCTATTGTCACAATGTGACCATGATTATTTTTTATCATATCTTTCAAAAATGACTTTGTAATCTGTAAAATAATGCTGATAAAATATAAAAATTGAAAGTAGTATAACAACTTTTGCAAAAAACTTAAAAAAACGTAAATTTCTTTAAATACTCACCCAATAATGTGACAAAATATTCACTTTAAAAGTTTGTTCAATTTCGCAATCGGGCAATTCCATAAAAGTCTTCCCGTATACGTACCCAGCATTATTTACTAACAGACTTACCTATAGAAACATTTATTTATTTAATAAATTTTATTACTTTTTTCTAATTAAGTATTTAAAAACTACCTAAATAGCTAAATGCAGTGCGTCTTACATATTGTCGAAAATCGTTGCAGCAATTTTGATATTTAGTACTAAGACATAATTATGTCTGTCTTGTTAAACTTAATTCTAATTTTAATTCTAATAATAAATTGACAGTAATTGATGATAACATATTAATATCAATTAACCCATTAAAGCCCATGCCTAATACAACGCTAAACTGAATATATGTTTCATAGCATAAGCGAAAAAAAACCCGTATTTTTTCGTTTTGCAAAATTGATTGTTCAAACAATAATTATTTAAACAAATTGTTGACAAATGTCCATTTTTTTAAACTAAAAGTGTCATTCTATGTTCAAAAACAAGAAATTTTTATTCTATTTTTTTGATCCTGTGCATTGTTTATGCAAAAAATTGTTATAAACGATTTGCATGCGCAAAATCGGCTTCTGCTCTGGATATTGCATATTGTTTTTTGATTTTCCGGATTTGATCACTCGTCTTTTCTCTCATTTCTAGATGGCTTATGTCCATGAGTCCCCTTGTCTCTCACTGAACTCGGGATGTTTTTTTAGACTCACAGTAAAAAAGCACCCCGAGTTCAGTGAGAGGCGAGAAGACTCACGGTAAAAAGGCACTTTTGTATTGTCAATTTGTCATCCGTCCAATTAATAGCATATTCACAGTAAATCGATAGTAATTTGAAAGCAACTGCTTTATCATCAATGTGCTATCCATGGCCAATAACATGTTTGCAGTAACATGATGGCAACATTTACCAAATTATAAATGTTATATATGCTAGTAATATATTAACAAAACATACTGTGCCAGTTCATGCTACGCATTATAAATATTTCATAATAACACCGACAACATTTAAGAGCTAATAAAGAATAATAAATTTACTAATCCTTTTGAGAGGTATTTTTTCGAAGATATTGTATATACGAAGATATATACTAATACCAGAAAGTTTGTAGGTTATCATAGTGACTTTGTCCACTACTAATACTAATGTTTCGTGAATCTTATTATTTACTTCATCAGGGTACACTGACAAGAGCGCACTGACACCAAGCTGCTCCTCCGGGGAATTCCCTTTATATAGACGCTGTTGAGGAGAGCGAAAATATGGAGAGGAAGGGAGGAGAGGCACTTTCTTGGTTTGTCAGGAGAGCAGTCTTCCATATCCTACTTACGTTAACCTGAATCTCTGTTCAAATCAAATTGTCTGAATATTTCTGTATTTATAGAACCTCTCTATACTTCCTTGGAAAATATGATATAGCTATTATAGCTGTAATAGTTAGCCGTTTTATTAAATTATATTTTGTATCCTGTCTCAATGCTGTTCTGTCAATGCTGATTGTATGATTTCAGCATTTTGTTGATGTTCCTTTATGTGCATATTGACTATTCTTCCGGTTTCATCGATGTATACTTTCCCGTAAGAGCAGAATATTTTGTATACTCTTGTAGAACTGAGTGTTCAATTTTTGGATTTCACAGGGTTTGCTCGATTTTCCTTGGAGGCTTGAAAATGGTTCAAATATTAAGTTTGTTCAAAATCCTGATTCGGTCAGTTATTTCTTTTACATATGGAAGATTAGAAAAGCTGTATAATATGTCTGTAAATATGTTTATAATTTATTTCTATATATTATAATATAATACATTGCGCTTTGAATTGTGATCTGCAAAGACGGAGGGGTTAATATTAATAATAACGGAAGCAGCTCCGATAACCTTGACCTTGACATATGTTATCAAGATCATGATTCTGAGTAACCAACAGGTTTTAGCCGTCGCTCGTCCTTCGATAAAAAGTTATCAACAAAAAAGGTTTGAAAAAAATAACGATTTATTCCTGCTTTATACAATATTAAAAGCTATTCTATACCTTTCCTTGCTTATGTAAGGACTTTCTACGCAAAACAACTCTCACCCTCCTTCCTCTGCTTTATAAAGCAATGAATTTATTTGAAAAATAGTAAATTTGTTTGTAAAGTAGTGAATTTGTTTGTAAAGCAGTGAATTTGTGTTTTTAAAACAGTGATTCAGTGTTTCTCTAAAGTTGACCTTCAGGAGCGCACGACTCTCACCCCTCCTCCCCCTTGCTTTAGGAGCACACGATTCTCACCTTCGACTCTCATCCCTCCTCCCCTCTGTTTCAGGACCTCACGACTTTCACCTCCGATTCTCACCCCTCTTCCCCCCTGCTTTAGGGGCGCACGACTCCCATTTTCGACTCTCACCCCTTTTCCGCCTGCAAAGGGGCGTATGACCCAATATACTATACTATTTCACATGATTATATTGTTTATTTGTTTGGTATTGCGTTTGTATTTACCAATTTTGATCGTACAGTCTTACTCAGTTCTTCAAACAGGAATCATACAGTTGCTACTTCTCATTCTGAATATATTTGTACAAGTGATAGTATATATTAATTGTATTGTGCATCTTCATGAATTTTTGCACTTAACGTATAATTTGGTTTGATGAAATATTTGATAAGTAAAAAAATAATTCTTAAAAATAACTTATTTAATTAAATAAATGGAAGTGTTCAATGTTCGAAATGTGAAAATATCTTAATATATCCAAATGATGTATATGAAAATTTAATTTTGCTGTAGTCATATGTATTATAAAACTATACATGGAAGAAAACGACAACGAAAAAAATATGTAACTTTAAAATAAGTATATACATAGTACATGGTTTTCTAAAGCTCATTTGAATATAATAATAATATATCGATTTATTGCTTATTTTGTAATATTGTAATTAGAATATCACGACAATCACTTATGTGTAGTGCATTGAATTAGCGATCCAACTGTCGTTTGGACGAATTTTTGTAGAGAGGTAAATTAATATTTATATATGTTCATATTTATATTATGTAAATGTATTTTTGTTCTTTTTTATAGTTGCTATGTAATTGGTTAAAAAATGAACAATAAATTGGCGGACCAGGCAAAATTGTGGAAATAGATGAAGTCAAAATTGGAAAAAGAAAGTTTAATAAAGATCGTATTTTGAAAGAACAGTAGATATTTGGTGGTATTGAACGTGAAAATAAAAATGTTTTCATTATATCTGTGGAAAATCGACGTTCTAAAATATTAATACCAACTAATTCAAAAACACATTGCTCAAGAGTCAATCATTCATGGTGATTGTTGGCGTGGATATGATGTTCTATGAAATGAAAGCTATATTCATTGAGTGGTTAATCATTCCGAAAATTTTGTAGATCCAAATGCAGGGACTTATACACAAAATATTGAGAGATTGTGGGAATTACGTGCTAATATTCCACGTTTTGGTACAAGAGAGTATCGTTATGAACATTATGTAGCTGAATTTTAAAAAAATTATATACTTTTGACAAACGTATTGAACGTTTTTTCGAAATAATAAGCGAATTGTATCTGTTAAAATCGTTAGCTAATTCTACATCGATATTCAGTGTTCATTTAACATTATTGTCATTTACTGATACAATATTTTTCAATATTTAGCAGAAATAAAACGTTATTTTTTCAAACTTTTTTGTTAATAACTTTTTAACGACGGCTAGAACTTGTTGGAGGTTACTCAGGGTCATGACCTTGACAACATATGTTAAGATCAAGGTTATCGGCTGCTCCGTTACTATTAATATTTATCGACGGAAGTTATTTACTTGGTTATTCAACGAAGAGAATTAAGATTTCTCAATTAAGAAGTAGGGATATGCTCATCTTTTGTCGAACGCAGCGACCATCTCCAACATGTGTGGATTGGAATATTGTTCATGAAAATTATATGGTATTGCTGATAATGGTTTAAAGTAAACCGAAACGTTCAAGAAATTTATCAACAATTATTGTTATCAACAAGTAAAATTATAGTGAATATATTTTATGTATTGTGCTCCAAGTACCGCGCTGTGTATGCTCTTATTGCCCGCTAATTAATATTTATTATTGTTAGAAAAGCTTCTTTTGTTTAACTCTTCCTGTGATTCTTGTATGTCTTGAGTTCTTTGTCCTGCTCCTATGTTTGCTAATTGTTTTATTCACATTTTTCTCATTGTATCCGTTCGGTTGTAAGGTTTGTTTAGAGTAGTCGAGTTCTGTCTGTAAATTCTTTATCAGAGATACTCAATGCTCTATACCCAAATAAGTGGATTGCCAATTGCTTTTGTGCTGAGTGGTGGTGTGACTCGACATGTAGGTATAATTCATTAGTGTGTGTTAGCTTCCTGTATAGTTAATAGCCCAGGGTATTGTCAGCCTTTTTTTTGTGACAAGAACATCCAGGAAAGGAAGTTTACTATTCTCTTCTATGTCCATGGTGAATCGGAGATGTATTGAGATTGGTTGTTGAAAAAATAAGACGATCAACAAACCAGAAGTTTTAATTTAACTAAGGAAAGGACTCCACAAATTTAAAATAATAAAAGTAATAAAGACTCTGTGAGAGTCAACGCAGTTATTATTGCGAATATCTTATAATTATTTAGTTTATTCCATTCACCTTGATGTAGTTTTGATGAGCGAATACAATAGAATTAACGTTTCGACGTCATTTTCGAAAAACAAAACCTGCAGAGTAGCAGTAAAATTTCTTAATATTAATTAATAATTTATATATTCCCCCCTTAATTTATATATCTGCATATTCATCATAAAGCCTAACCCAACGCAAAATTATAGTGCTTAAACCGCCCCAACAAGGGTTGGCTTAGAAGCCGGGCCTACTGTGAAGCGCGGAGACTTTTGGATCAAGTGTACCAGGAGTACCTTAAGACTTCTTGGAGTTGGAGTCACTCAGCCGAGGACGTATTGTCTCCACCACCTTCGCCACCACTGGTTTTGCCGAATACTTTACCTGTTAACCAAGATACGTTAAATGCGATATCTCCCCCTTTTCCTTCACCTCCCCCTCGATCTCCGTCACCCGGACGCTCTGATGGAGCGAATCTTCCCTGACATCCCACCTCCAACCCTCGACTCTTCCATTCAATCCATCCTTTCATCACCATTATTACTGGCTGACTCGATCTCGAGCATAGAGTTCCTGGAAGAGTTTCCCGTTTTTCCGTGAAACGAATTCTTTATTCATCCCGATGATTCGTTTGAGTCCTTAATTAACCGATTTCTACATGCAACACAATCTCTCCCATCAGATGCCTATATAATCGATTATTTTGATCCACAAGAAATTCGAAATGCCATAACTGGCTAGCTATCTCACGTTCACATCCCAATATTCCTCCCGTTATCATCCATCCCTTATCTCGTTACCATAAATTTCTTTTATAATCTTTTCCCTCATTCCTCCGTTGTAATTCACGAAATGAACTAATTCCTGTATCGCCTCTCCGTTCACACACATGGCAGACTCACGTTCGCCCATGATTTAACTTTGACAAAAAAACTAATCTTTTATGTAATTAATTAGCAATTCTGCTTAATGATTTAAGCTACCAACCGCGTTTCGCAATGTACAACAGCTCATAGTAATTAATTATAAAAATAAATACAATAAGATGAATTAAAAATACAAGATTATTCAAGAGAGAATACTAGCTTATTCTTATAACATGTTAAAATAATAGCTACTAATGCAGATGCAACTGATAATGTACAACTTTTGTTAAAAGGCTAGATTTTTCTTATAGTCGCAAACACAGATATGTTTACTTTTAAAATATTGTATATTATAATATATAATATTAAGAAATTTTTTGTTTAATAATAAACTATACTTTTAATATGACGTGCTTCAATCTCTATTTATTTTAGAATCGTAAGACCTCGTACCGATTCCCACCTCTCGTCAGAGGTCGCGTCATATGGTCCGGTCCCGAGTTATAAGGATTAAATGTAAAATGTTTGAAAGTTAGGCTAAACAATTACAAAACATAAATAATAAAAAGCATACAGCCACAACAATAGATGTTAATGCAAGTCATATATTTAAAATTCACAAATAAATAAGTAGACGTTTCGGTCAAGATTTGACCATCATCAGTACACACAAGATGACAAAAAATGAAGATCTTACAAACTAGAAACTAATTAATACTAGTCGGAAGATGTTATAGTAATATTAAATTAAAATTATTATACATAAAAATGTTACTTATTCCGGGTCTTATTTATGAGTTTTCGTGCCATAAGATACGTGGCTTTGTTTCATTACAATTTTCAGATTAATTTCCGTGAACTTATGATATTGATATTAGTAGTAAGCTTTGGTATTAGTGTAAAGGAAAACAATTTTTTGTAGAACTTGGAAATTCCGTATTTTTACACGAAGTTGCGCAGCGCTTCTTAACAGGAATTGTAACAGAGTATTATATCAGAAGATTTAAACATTACTCAACTCTCTTGATCTCTTTTCATGGTGCCGGTCAAGCCGTCCCTTTTTTCGACAGTAAAAATATTCCGTTAGCATACTTTATTGAGGAAGCAAAATCTATGTTGCCTGTGGAAGCTAAATCTCAATTTACAAAAATTGGGCGAAGTTCGCCGAACAATTCGAGATCAAGATTTTGACAATGTATCTCAACTAACAAAATATCTAGAGCAAGTTTATGGTCCATTAAAAAATATTTATTAGTTGCAAGGAGAATTAGGTAATATCTATCAAAAGAACGAGGAAGATGTAGTTACTTATGCGAATAGAGTTAAAATCCTGGGGAAATAAATATTCCCCAGAAGCACATAAAGATTCAGGAAATTTTCTCCCTAATCAAGATATTAAATCACTATTAAAGAAGGATATGTGTAAATGTTTCATTAGAGAGCTAAAACCGAAGATCGAACACAAAATAGCGAGAAATTTAAACGTTTAAGAAATCGTAGCTGATGCTTTGAGAATAGAATGGAAGCTACACTCAATGACAGATTTATGACAGAGGCACAGTAACATAACATGTAAAATACCAGATACTAATAAATTACACGAAATGTGTCAAATTTACTATAAGGAGAGGCATTCGGTTTCTAATTGCAGGAACTAATTTAGGAACTGAAATGTTAATATATCAAATTTGTAAAAAACGTTGGCATAGCGCCGATAAATATCGACTTCGTGACCCTCGTGCTCAACGATCTGTTAATGTATATATATATATATATATATATATATA